TATTATTATTATTATTGTATGTGATATCACTTTGACAGAGAGTTAATTTTAAGTGCCTAATTACCAATTCCTCTCCGGGTGTCTAAGATTAAAACAGAAACTGTAAGAAATTTATCTATGCCAGGTATATATTTGAGGCGTTTTATGGAGTGTGTGTTTTCAATGACAAACAGGATCCTGTTTGCTACATCTTGTCTCTTTTGAGGGAACGCTAAGTTTCAAATTAGTTGAAAATGTGGAATGTGCATTTTATTAATATTATTATTTTTATTTTCTTTGATTTCTGGCGTTTACACATTTCTTTCCGGGTCCCGCCCAGGGACCTAAGGTTAGAAATGGCGTCATGACACTTTCCACTGACAAAAAAAAAAATTAAATTACATAGATAAAGCCCTTCGTAAGGTGTGGGCTGTACTTGTCAGAACAATTTTTTGTATCTCCTTGAGGCATGGACTTCAAGGAATCCCTTCAATTAGTCTACTGCAATCTTTTCCAACCAGTCCTAGGGCTCCAAATACAACAGGGATTGTTGATGTTCCCATGTGCCACATTTTTAAGATTTTTATTTTAAGGTCTTTGTATTTTGACAACTTTTTGAATATCTTCAAAGATACATTGCAGTCAGCAGGGACTGCCATATCAATAAGGAGGCACTGTTTTTGTTTGTGGTCTTTAATAACAATATCTGGCCGGTTGGCCTTGATTGTTCTGTCAGTGTGTATTGTGTAGTCCCATAGAATTGTAACAGGTCCTATCTCCGTAACCGGGTCTGGGTGGTGTTCATACCAGTTTTTTTCAGTTTCCTTCCAGTTGCAGATTTTCCAGTGCAGATATGATCTTGCCGGAGAGTGATTTTAATTGACTAATTATGCAATTACCTCCGGAGTCTACGAGCAAAAAGGGCAGTGTATGTATGTTATCTATGCACATTCGGGACGTTTCGTTTAGATGGAGAGTGTTTTGTAGATGATATGTGCATTTCTGCAAAAAGTAATGTTTTGTACCTCTGAGATGCTGATGTGTCAAGACTCTTCTTAATCATATCCATCGCCCCTACCACACCAGGGACAATCGTAGTTTTAAGTTTCCATATTTTTGTTCACTCGATTAGCAGGTCCTTATAATTTTAGTGTTTTTAAAGTTCTTTTATTATTATTATTATTATTATCATCTTCATCATTATTGATGTTGTTGCTGTTGTTCTTAGCGAGCGAGAGAACAACATGTTAACAAAGTGACATTGGGACACCAGTATACCTGTCATGGCATCCTGTTTGATCAATGTATACCACGCAAATGCAGCATGGCCAAATGTGCGCGATATAGTGACAGTTTTTTTTTTTTTTATAAAAGCAGCGCTAAAATCGTTGCAGGTGCGACTCGGATTGAAAAAAAATTCAGATCGATTAATCTTGTCCGCTCTTCTATTAAGAGTGTTTACAAGTCACTAGATGTGAATCACAATTTTCCTCCTTCGAAGTTTAACCCCACCCCCAGCGCATCCTCAGTACTCTCACTCTCTCTCTCTCCTTCTCTTTCTCTTTCTCCTTCTCTCTCTCTCTCTCTTTCTCTCTCTCTCTCATGAATAGTGATGCATAGTAAGTAAAACCCCTAGGTGACATGCCCAAATGATGAACCATTTTCTGGCACTGACCTGTAACTTATCTTAATTCACCATGGCAAAATATGTAAATGTTATCACTAAGAATCAGAATCTATTATTATTATTATTATTATTATTATTATTATTATTATTATTATTATCAATGATTTGTTGTTTAGTGAGTGAATGATCTCTCAACAATTTAATACTGATGTACAAATATATAAGCTCCCCCCATCAGATAAGAAACCATGATGCTTCCACTACACCCACTCATAAGCAGATACGCACAGTCAAGGAATCGTTGTTCTAAGTGGATTTTTGTAATGGCTGAGTTCACTCTAAGAGATTCCAAAGTATCAGGTCGTTTGGTACCTCACAACCTTGACATAGAAGGTAACCGCATAGCCACGATGCTCTGCCCAGATGATCATAGAATGTGCATACGCGGGTCATTCGGATGATAGGAAGTTATATAAGCACTCCACCCGAGAGGGAATAGCCACAGTTACTGTTATAATCGGTTGAAATTTATAGGTTTTTTTTTTCTTAAAATAATTTCACAGGAAATTAGATTTTTATTTTTAATCATTTCACCCCAAGCAAGGTAATGAAGCCACTAGGGTTTACTGAGTGTGAGAGAATATGGGAAAAAGAAAGGAGCTAGTAATAAGTACACAGGATAACGATTGATATTGCATTTAGGTTTTTGAACATCGAAGATAAGCTATAGTACCAGAAAATTGTTCATCAGTTAGACATGTCTCCTGGGGCTTTACTAAATATACATCAATGGAAAGCAAGAAGTCAAACGTGAGTTGAACAAGCGATAATTGCGAGAGAGGAAACCTTCTGGCGAAAAAAGATCCAAGTTCGAAAGGAGTCCCCAAAGCCACACACCCTCAAGCTGACACTAAATTGCGCTGTCCAGAAGGTTTTGTTTCATATTCATATTAGTTTCTATAATAATAAATTGTCGTTCTGAATGTCAAATTCACAGGATATCTTTTTATCTCAGACATACTCTTCTTTATATTGACTCTTAACCAAGATTGATATTCTCTTTGTAAAAACAAAAACAAAAGATATTATGTTCTTTCTATTAACTTGGTTTCGCGTACGAACATCAAGGGAATTATCTACTAGAGCAGGTTGATTTTTCACATGTTTTGGAAAATCAACATTGCATTCTATGTGAACGCTGGGATTTGATGTGACACCAAAAATTTTTGAACATTTACGTTTAAATATTATCTGAAAAAATGTACAGAAATACCTAATTTCCGCAGGTTTTTGCTTACGAACTGACTTCAAAATTTTACTATCTCAAGAAGATATACAAATGAAGTTGATATCTTTTGTATTAGATCCATTGAATGGAAAATATATTCAAGCCAGAATTCTAATTATGAATTACCTCAAGCAAAATATGATTTTTTACCGCATTCGATAAGTAAAAACTGTGTGAAAATATTGTTAAAGGCTAGACAATGAATACGATTTGTTAGATCAAAATTAATAAAAACAAAAAAAAACAGATAAAAGTGTATATATCTCCATCTTACTCCTAGGCACATAATTTTAAACTTACATTGTTTATTGAAAATCGCACTAAATCTACTGCACTCTATATAATACATTATAATATAGCTAAATTGTTCAGTATAATTTCCGTTTGAAGCAAAATGAACGTCTTCTTTGATGGCACAAAGTTTTCAAAATAATGTGCTTGCACCATGCATTTTGTCCATATAAAATAAATGCTTCAGAAATTTATAATTTTTATAAGGCTACGCTATAAGGCTTTCTCTGAACACCAGAATGAAATTCCAATGCTACGATTTTGAACATAAACCTTATCTTCAAGCTGCATTCCTCAAAAAACAATAATGCCTTCGGCGCCGGAGAGTAATGGACCCATTCCTCGACATGATTCTGGAGAAGGTCTCCGTCCAATAAATAAGCTGAGAAGAAGAAGAAGAAGAAGAAGAAGAAGAAGAAGAAGAAGAAGAAGAAGGAGGGAGGAGGAGGGTAAGATGAAGGAAGAAGAAGAAGAAGAAGAAGAAGAAGAAGAAGAAGAAGAAGAAGGGAGGAGGAGGGTAAGATGAAGGAAGAGCAGGAGGGTGGAGAGGCGGGGAGAAGAAGAAGATAAAGTAGAAAGTGAATGAAAGAAAAAGTGTTTTTTTAACAGAATATTTTCATGATCATTCGTTATAATAGTACTTTTCCTACAGCCATATTTATTAGTATATCACTAATTCAGAGTTATATAGTCTCTTTGCAGAATTCATGACTCAATGTGTATTCATAGGTCAGTATTCACAGGTACATCTTATTTTTACAGTATTATATAAACGCAATAATCTTTTGTTGTGCTATTCCTAAATAGTAAATATTTACCGCTGGGATTCTATTAAATAGGCGGCCATAATTCTCTTCATTATTAATGTTTCCATATATATATATATATATATATATATATATATATATATATATATATATATATATGTGTGTGTGTGTGTGTGTGTGTGTGTGAAAAGTGTATATAAATATAAACAAATATATATATGTATAATTATTTATATATTATATGCGCGGTACTTATTAGAAAGCGCTCAATATCAGAGATAGAGCTAACATATTTGGTTCGATAGATGTGAGTTTGTGATATATATATATATATATATATATATATATATATATATATATATGTATGTATGTATAACTGGCATTTATATATATGAAGTAATCAGTGATTTTTATCCATATGCGTCTTGCTCCGTTAAGCACTTGATCGATCTATCTTCTTTCATTTTCATTTATATCAATATATCAATAGAAAGTATACTTGCATTTTCTTTTTCTTATCATAAACATGAAATATTACATATCTTAATTCAGAATTTAAAAGCACGAGCTAATTAAGTCCAATATTTTTCTTTGCCTTGAAAAGAAAAAAACTTTGTCAATCAATCGAGTTAATGATTATCTATCCCACGATCTTTGAAACCTTCTGTTCCTTTATCTTCTTGCTAACAGATCTTGTTCGTCTGAATATTCTTTATTTTATCTCGCTTACGTATTGATTGATTGATTCTTTTTACCGTTTATCAATCCTTTACAGATTATTTAAAGCCAGAAAATATTTTTAGAATATATGATTTATTTTCTTTTCGATAATAATGATGTAGTGATAGAAGTCTGACTAATTAACCCATAGCTGGAGGGGTGAAAAGAGGCTTCCTAAGGGTATTTGCGCGTAAATGAATATAACGAACCGAAATCAATGTGCGGGTGGTGTAATGGGTAAATGCTCGAAATTGTTAATTGGAGAGTCGAGTTCCATTCCGATTAACAATTCCGAACATTTATCTATTACACCACCCGCACATTCAAGCTTACAGCCCCTGGTATTTCCAAGTGGACACACATCTAGGTACTAACCAGACTCGACGTTGCTTAACTTCGGTGATTGTACGCGAACTGATGTTTCAACGTGATATCGCCGTAAGTCCTCACAATGTATTGTAGATTTTAAAAGCTCGTGAATGTTGCAAACGCTTGAAGAGTAGGAAAATTGTGCTGCACAATCCTTTGAGAGTTCCAAGTACGCAGCTTTGGAAAACATGAATTGGAAAGATAATATTGAATCAACTGATCGGTCTGCTTCTAGGAAAGCTAGTTCACTGTATTTTGCTAGACAACTACTCTCGTCAAAAATTCTTCTTGATAAAATATAAAGAATCTGCAATGATACTGATCCTAACTTGGCATCTCTGCATTTGGTTATTCTCCCAACACTTTAACGTAGCTTCCCTATGACTTTTCTACAAATGTTTTAATGGTAATTGTTCTCAGCTTTCGCCTTCAGTACTTATAGTTTGCGAATTTAAGCGCAGTACTAGACTGGCGACAAATTTTCATCATTTTACAGTTGAAACGGATAGATGTAACCGCAAAATTTATGCTAACATTTTCTTCTCTCGCACTTCTTGCTTGTGGAAGTCTCTACCAGCCTCTTGCCTTCCATTCAAGTTTTGATCTTCATAAAATTTGAATCCAATGTCAATCTTTATCGTCCGTCTTCTTAATTACCGTTCTTTTAGCTTTCTCTCATTTTAATACTGTTTTCTTTTCCTCTTATTTTCTCAAACTCAGTAACCCTCTCTTGAGTCTAAATGTCTTTATTGCCTTGCTTGGGGTGAAATGATAAATAAAAAAAACATCGACTAAGACGACGAATATAAATGCATAACTGTCCCAATCACCAAACAGGTTTTGACCGAAACATGTTTTGGTTCGTAACCACGTGAATAGGTATTTATCTGAAGCCCAACGTCGTTACACAATGTGACACAAGGCTGAGGTTTAATGCGAGAAGCCGTTCAAAATTGCTCAAGCATCCTCGGCACTTCACCTTTTGGGGATGCCTAAGGCATACTCCCTATGGCTTGAGATAATAGTAATTTCAAACTACTCCTTGGTAGTGCCAGGGATGTGTGTGCGAACGCGCAGTTAAATCATTAACTTAACATTAACTATTGTTTAACGTTCTATGTTACCTAATCAGAGGAAATAGTTGAAATGAGCCTGTCAAAGGAATATGGGAAATGAGGTAGAAATCTCAACAAATTTCGCTACTTTTGTACGTCATCCATTAAAAGTGTCTTTTAGAATGGCATGAGGTAATGGTAATCTTTCTTTACCTGCCTATACATACACAAACAAAAAAAACACACACATATATATATACACACACATCCGAATGATTAGAAAGTTCTCCTAATCATGAGACACGGTTTCGAATCCCACCATGGTCGATTTGTCAGGAAGTTGACATCTTGATGCTATTGAGCTGGGGGAGGCGATCTTAGCATGCTGCACATTTAGAAAATGCCTGAAAACCATACCCCACGGTTTGTGAGTGGAATTGGATAGACGGAGCCCTTTCAGAGCCGTCGATTGTTGTGCTAGCACGAAGCCACAAGTCAACGTGACCGAGTGTTTGTGCGTGATGGACTTGTTCAAACTGTTGACCACGCTCAATAACGGGCGTTCTCCCACAAACTCTAAGTTCCGCTCAGTATAGTTGCCGTATAAACCACAGGTGAACTCTCTGGGTGTTGAACTAAAACAAACCTACCTCAGCAAATATGCCTGCAACAGGGTTTAGCTAGCCTTCCTAGTAGACGGGCATCCTCGGATACGAGTGGCCAGCCATCCATTCTCATAAACACTAATATATCTTCCACTGATGCAAATAAAAAATAAAATTATATACTATACTAAATTTAATAGAACCAACCTAGTTGTCCAAAACAACTCTTCTCCGACAACTAGCGTCCTACAAAAGCCTAACATTATATATCAACTTAAATGTTCTTTAGGAGATTGTATCTCTGGTAAAATTGTCAATATATGCGTTGGTTTACTACAACGATGCTAACAAAAAAAAATTACATTTCATTTAGCTCAACATAGCTCAATATATCAGCATTTCAAGGAACACTCATGCCTACACTCATAGATTAGACGCATGCTAGCATGCTATATTACATTAAAACAATTGCAAGAAAAAATTCTTGAAGCCGTTTATATAAGAGAATTAAAGCCTAAAATAAATAAACCTTCAGTTTAGCAACAAAGTCCTTCAATGCTTAGGACAAAATTATATACATATGAGCAAAAAAAAAAGTTACTTTCTTTATATTGAAAAAAAAACCCAAAAGAACACGTGAAATTTGAATTTTTAAATCTAGAACACTGCGCAAGCAGTAAAAAAAAACGAACAGTTGAAATTATTTAAATTCACAGAAACACATATACATACTCACAGATAACTAAACCCCGTGAAGATGGCCTCAGATGAGATTTTAAAGTACTTGGGAAAATAAAAACTATTCGAAAGAAAAATTTGGTATTTTTCTTACTCAATTTTCTACGTCTATGAAAAATTAATCCGCGAACTTAAAAGGATCACAATGAAAACTAATCGACATTATATGTGTAGATTACTTAACTAAACCTGTTTGAATATTTCGATCCTGACTTGAGGCAATCGGATGTCTAGCCACACTGATGAGCTGTGATACAACGAAACAGTGGATGAGAATATATATATATATATATATATATATATATATATATATATATGTGTGTGTGTGTGTGTGTGTGTATATATATATATATATAATATATATATATATATATATTTCATAAATCCTCAGTCGGCCAGGTTATTGTATATTTGGAACCTGATGTGTTGATATATATATATATGAGAGAAAATGCTATATAATTTTTTATACACCAGAACAACGTTATCAAAATTCATGACAAATTGAAAAACATTGTTCGTGTCACGCGTTTCGTCCTTTAGACTAAAGTGATTATAATTACACATGCGCACGAAGGAGAGGGGCGCTACAATATAAACCTTTTAAATTTAAATTAAATTTAACTTTTTTATAATATTCGCTTGGGTATATAGTCTTTTATTAATGTTTATACTTTTATCGCTTTTCTTAATAAGTATCCCGCAATTAACCTGACATTGTAACATTGTGTGTGTGTGTGTGTGTGTGTGTGTGTGTGTGTGTGTGTGTGTGTGTGTTTATGCTTTCCCAAATTTACTTTTTTTCTGGGATTTATTAAATTTTGGAGTTCTCATATTCTCCAATTCAATTTTTAAGCTATATATAAAATATAATTTACGTACATGGCTGGCTGGCTGCCTGTTTACCTCTCTAATCCTTTATTGTCTGTCTATCTGCCATTCTCTCTCATTGAATTTTTACTCTCAATTTCTCTCCACCCTCTCTCTCTCTCTCTCTCTCTCTCTCTCTCTCTCTCTCTCTCGATATATATATATATATATATATATATATATATATATATATATATATATATATATATAGGTATAACTGACATCTATATAAAATATAACCAACAACTGTATTTACGAGCTCTGTTCAAAATATATCGGGACTGTTGCTATGATAACGAAGCTAAAGTAGGCACAGAGAAACCGCTCAGCACAGATTGTCCTTGAACACGTGTCACGCATACATATTCAATTAGAGTTCTCGCCCACTTCCCTTGTGTACAGCAGTGCTTGGTAAGAAAGTGTGCAGAGTGTGATCGTCAAGGCAATCCCAGTGAATGCGACGAGGTAGCTGCTCACTATCTCCAAAAAGGAGTTTTAGGAATGCTTCCACCAATGGAAACAATGCTGGATAAAGTGTCTGTTCCCAGAAGGGGGCTACTTCGAAAGAGATTAAATGCCGAATTGATATATGTTGTAGTTTCCTTTTTACAACACCAGTCTCGATACTTTTTGGTCAGACCTGGTATATGCCTGATTGACCATTAAGCAAATGATCGATCGATCTTCATTTATCGATATCGATATATCAGTAGAAAGAGTTCTTGGATTTTATCTTACTTTTCTTACCAAAGTTAATTATTGCATCTCTTAATTTAGAGTTTAAAAGCCCAAGCTAATTAAGCAAGTCCAAATTTCTTATTTTCCCTGAAAAAAATGTTATCAATCAATCGAATTAGTTAGAATCCATCTTGCGATCTTTTTACTTATTGCTTCCCAATATATTTTGTTACAGAAATAGCTTTATTATAAAACTATCATATGCCATTTACGTATTGCAGATTTTAAAACATCGTGAATGTGGTAAATTTGTGCTTGTAATTGGCAAGAAAGACTCTGTTTATTTCTCGCGTAGATAAATCTTAGTGACCTTGTTGTCGTTTGTTGATTTTTTCCCTTTCGGCCTTTCACAGTTCGTACTCTCTAGACAGTAACTCTCATGCCGATGGTTGTAATATGTAAGGACATCTCTGTCCAGTTCTCTTAGCAAGCGTGTGCAAAGGGACGCTCTGAAAATAATGCCTTCTATTTGTTATCCACGGAAACTACAAGAGATGCAAGGAGCACAATTACACCGTCGGATAGAGCAAGTTTTCGACTACAATACACTATTTTGCACATAGTCATCAAACTGGCTACGTATTTTCGTCAGAAATGAACAAGAAGCTTTATTCCACATACATTAATATGACTTGTCACAAGCTTCATTTTGGCATTGCTAAAGTACATTTTCACTCCCTAACTGTGCTTACATCCACTATTTGATCTCCATAATCGTTAATAAAGCTTCAATGAATGCAATATCGCATGGATCAATTCAATGACACGCCTCTACCTGCATTCTATAAAGTATAAAACTTCTTGTAGTAGAAATACCAGCAATACATTTTCATAGTAAAAAGACTTTACCAACAATACATTTTTGTAACAAAAAATACTAGCAATACACTTGTCAAAGAAATTACTAATGCTCCCAAGAAAATTAAATATCACTCATAAGGAATTGGTATACCACTAATCAAACAAAAACCTTCAAACAGTCTTAAAAAAAAACAATTTAAAAGAGGCCGTTTGACCAACACAAGGTCTAACCAAAATCAATGATAAAAACAAATGAAAACTACAAA